TTTGAGCAGCAACTCAGTTTCTATGTGGAAGCAAGAGCAATGTTCTGTAATCTGGAGCCAGTTCTTGTACAGTTAATTTACGTGAGTGGGATCCACCGGGCTATTTCTCTACACTAAAGCTGGATTATTGACCTTATTTCCTTGTCTCCTATATACATTGCCTTATGCTGGTGTGGAATACATGATCCAATATTCACTCGTGTGAAGAGGGTTTTGAGTGTGATGTTTTTCGAACAGCATTTATTAACAAGATTCATTATTTCATTATTTGTCACATACAGTTTTAGTACTGTGCTATTTGATAAATAGAAAACAGAAACTGCAGCAATATTGAGTGTGTAGTAAACCACAACAAAAAATATGATTTTACATTAACTTATCTTAGAGCAGTCAAAACAATGAAAGGTAACTTCTAATTGCTTTCTGTAAGCTACTGCACTTTGTACATTGATCTTAAAAAAGACTTTTGCCTTTTGTATGCCTTTTTATCTTCTCTTGCTTTGGCCTTTATTGTCAGGTCAATTGAATGCACAATTTTTTAATATTATTATATAGGATTTATGTTGTGCCAACAGTTTGTGCAGCACTTACAAAATATGGGGATACAGTACAGTTAAAATACAATACTAGGGATGCACCAATACCGTTTTTTTGTTGTTTTTTTTGCTATATTTTCCGATGCCGATACTGGAAGTCCCATTAAGGAAGCTGGGCGGAAGTTCCGGTATCGGAATAAGCAACGGGAGTATTTTGGCGAGTAGAAGTACTCGCCCAAATACTTTGTACCGATACTAGTATGGGGGGTGGATTGCAATTTTTACTGTTTGTCAAAGTCCAATGTCACTGTAGGTGGCATTAAAATCTGACTGTATCTGAATTCCTGTGTTGCTCAGTAGACTCCAAGAAATAGATTTTATGGTAAATACAAAAATCTTATTTTTTTCTGATTTTTGCGGTAGATAATTATGAACGATTGTTCATTGCAGAAAAGTGACATCAAATGTTTATTTTTTTACTTTTGACAGTCCACAGAAACAATAAAAAAAAAGCGTGCAGCTCCCCCACCCCAATTCATACCAGACCCTTGATCCGAGCAGCAGCCTGGCAGAGCAGGAAAGGGGGGTGAGCTTGTGCCCCCCCTCCTGCACCATGCTAGGCCACATGCCCTCAACATGGGGAGGATGCTTTACCAGAGAGGATCCCCTGGCAAAGCACCTTGTCCCTAAGTCGATGAGGACAAGGGCTGTGCTGGTCTGCGGGCAGCAGGCAGGTGGCCTATCTGAATCTGGGTGTCCCCTTCCATAAAGGGGGAACCCAGATGCCACCCCCCTAGTGAATCAGTTAAGAAGTCCTTTATTTAAAAAAAAATAAAACCCAAAAAATAAAACGTGGATCTGACGATGTAGATCCACGTCACTCATGGTGGTTAATGGCCAACAACTCCGGAAGAAACATTTTCAGACAAAAAAAATTCGGATTCATACCTCCTCATGTATCACTTACCCCTTCTCTTTTAGATTGTAAGCCCCAGGGGCAGGGCCCTCCTTACCATCTTGTCTTGAATTGTATTGTGATTGTAATGTCTTCCTTATATTGTAAAGCGCGGCGCAAACTGTTGGCGCTATATAAATACTATGTGAGGGGGCGTGTCCAAGATGGCGACCGGAGCACACGTGTAGTAACTGTGCTCCGCCACCTTATCTATCATCCTGATTCTTTAAGCCCTGTGGAACGCTCAGGTGGACAGTAGACCGGGACCGGACTGTTCCCTGATCCGGCGGGTATGTCTCGGGGGCGCCGTAAGTCATCTATGGGCCGCCCTACTACCCCTACGCCTCTGCCGGCCCGCGGACTGAAGCAGCCTCGTGGCAAGATGGCGGCCCAGCCGGAGGTCTTAGAGGAAGCCCTGACGGGCCCAGCCCAATTTACTGCGCTGATGGCTGCGATCTCGGGATGCCAGACTGCACTTACGGCCAAGATCGACCACCTGCAATCGGATGTGGGTAGGGTTGCCACCTGTCCAGGATTCACCCGGACAGTTCGGGTTTTGAATGCTGTGTTCGGGTTTCATGGCAGCAGAGACCCGGACACAAGATGCCAGGCAGACAGGGGCAACCAAAATTAGAATAGGGGCTTCTGGCTCCCCACTGAAAACAGTCTCAACTGTGATATTTGCATACGAATAGGCGGCAATATTTACATATAAATAAGCCATGACTCATTCTCCCCCAAAAATGTCTGTGCATCGCTTCAGTGTTCGGGTTTCGCTTGAAGAAAAGGTGGCAACCCTAGATGTGGGCCTCCTCAGGCGGGATCTGGACAGGTTCGGGGATCGGATGACTGCAGCGGAAGGTAGAGTGAGTGAGGTGGAGGATGTAGTTGGGGCCCACACGGCGACTCTGCGTATCCTGCAGACCAAAGTCAAGGCCTTGGAGTCCCGGGCAGTGGATGCCGAGAACCGGAACCGGCGGAGTAATCTCCGCATACTGGGGCTGCCGGAGGGGCTGGAGGGTCCGGACCCACTTACCTTTGCTGAATCCCTGATCCGGGCCCTGCTCCCTAAGGCCCAGCTAACGGCCTTCTTTGCGGTCGAGCGGGCCCATCGCATGCCTTCCGTCCAGGGTCCCCCTGGGCCCCCCCGCGCACTTTCATCTTTAAACTCCTGAACTTTCGGAACCATCCTGATGGATGCGTCTCGCAGATGCTTATTATACCAGACTCGGGGACTGTTTGCGGAGGGGGAGCGTAACGGTAGACTACTGGCGTGGCTGGTGCGGGAGGGAGGGGGAGCGTGCAGTGTTTCCAGGGTGATAGACTCGGATGGCTCTGTCCTGACAGACCCTGGTAGCATCACGGCCCGCTTTGCCTCCTTCTATGGGGACCTCTACCGCTCTAGAGTATCCTACACGGACCAAGACCTCTTGACCTACCTGGACGAAATTGACTTTGAGGTCCTGCCCCTGGACTCTCGCATAGCACTTGATACGCCCTTTACGGACAGGGAACTGGAGTTAGCGATTACCTCCCTAAAGGCGGGCAAGACACCGGGACCGGATGGGTTCCCGGTGGAGTTCTACAAGACCCATGCAGAGGGGATTGCCCCACACCTGATGCGTACCTATGGGGAAGCCATTAGGGCGGGTGCTCTCCCCCCTTCTATGCTGAAAGCCATCATAGTGGTGGTGCCCAAACCTGGGAAGGACCCCGAGCAGTGTTCATCGTATCGCCCAATATCCCTACTAAATGTAGATCTAAAGATTCTCACCCTCATGCTCGCTAACCGGCTCAATGCTGTCATCACCCTGCTGGTACATGGAGATCAGACAGGATTCATGCCTGGGAGGGGGACAGATGTCAACTTACGACGCCTTTTCATCCTATGTGGATAGGCTGCGCAACACACAGGGGCAAGAGGCGGTCGCCTCGCTAGACATTGAAAAGGCGTTCGACTATGTCGAATGGCCATACCTGGTTGCAGTCCTCCGTTAGTTTGGGTTTGGAGATCGCTTTGTCGCATGTATCCGGCTCCTCTACTCCTCCCCCACTGCTAGAGTAAGAATTAACAATTTGATGCCGGCTCCGTTTGGCCTTGTTTGGGGTACGAGACAGGGATGCCCCCTCTCGCCTGGACTCTTCGCACTGGCGATGGAACCCATGGCTATCCCGCTCCGTGCCTCTGCCCAGGTGGGGGGACTTCCAGTGGAGAGGTTGATGGAAAAGCTTTCCCTCTATGCTGATGATGTGCTCCTTTACCTGGGGGATGTGGGGCCCTCCTTGACAGCGGCTTTGGGGATACTGGACATATTCGGAGCCTTTTCGGGTCTCCGGGTGAACTGGGGAAAGTCCCTGCTATTTCCGCTGGGTGCCTCCTCACTTCATCTGGGTCCGGGCTTGCCCCTCAAGTATTCTATGTAGCTTTCTATGCCCGCAGAGAAATAATCCGGAGATGGAAGCTGGCCTCTCCCCCTACGGTAGGGCAATGGTTGAGTACGATAGATAGGATGCTCCCGCTTTACAGAATAACATACATGAGCCGTAACTGTGCGAGTAAATTTGATCGGATCTGGGGAGACTGGGTGGCGGCCAGGGGACTTACCTTGGAGGGTCCAGGTGGAGAGACCTTAGTATTTTATGTAGTTTGTTTCTATGTATAAAAAAACAATAAAAACATTACCTGTTAAAAAAAAAAAAATACTATGTAATAATAATAATCATTTTATTTATTTTATTGTCAGAAAATTTGGATACGTTCGGATTAGTTATTTCTTTCATCGGAAATTCAGATACATCTGAATGTCCAAATATGCGGCTATTTATCCGAATTTAAATTCAGAACGAAACAAATCTTGCATGTCTAGTATTAAATAATAGTTACATAGTATTTGGGGTTGAATAAAGACATACGTCCGTCCGTGGAATTTTTTCTGCACCAACTTTAGGTGGTGGCCTCTAGTCTTTGTAATGGAGTTAATCTCAAACAGTTTGTTGCTAATGTTGCTGTCACCATTGAACATTTTGTACATGAAAATCATATCCCCCCTTAATCTCCTTAATTCCAGCGTAAACATGTTTAAGGTCAGAAGCCTTGTCTCATAGCTCTGGTCCTCCATTCCCCTAATTAGTTTTGTTGCCCTCCGCTGGACTCTCTCCAGTTCAAGGACATCCCTTCTCAGTACTGGCGACCAAAACTGGACCTCGTACTCCAGATATGGCCGAACCAACGATCTATATAGAGGCACAATTATAGACTTGTCTCTGCAATACATCCCCTTCTTAATACAGGACAAGACCCTGCTAGCTTTGTTTACTGCAGCTTGGCACTGCAAGCTACCATTCAGTTTGTGGTCTACAATGACCCCAAAATCTTTTTCTATTTCTGACTTCCCTAGCGGCATACCCATGATTGTATAGCCTATTTGTTTATTTCTATGTCCGCCCTGATCTTCTGCCTGGATCCGACTTTGCTCTTGTCTCCTGCGTTTATCCTCTGATTACTCGTTGCTGACCTGGGACCGTCTGACCACCCTCGGCTAGCCGCCTGCCTTGAACTCTGCCTGGATTTGACTACTGTCTCCTCATTGGAGCCCTCCTCTTCTCGTCCATGCCTTGGCGGGTCAACCCTGGGTATTGCGACCAGCTACCAGCAAGCAGCCAAGCCCATCTCCACCATCAGGAGCTCTGGTGAACACTGGCTGGTAGTTAGACTCTGCCCCTCAGGGAAGCCCGTGTCACCTTCCAGGGGGTGTCACTCTAACACGTCTAGAATGGTCGGCAATAAGCTAACTGCTATCCATAGTTTTTGTATTTCCTTTAACCTACTTGCCATTACTGAAACCTGGCAATCTGACTTTGCCTCTCCTGCTGCCTTCTCCCATGGTTGCATCCACTACACTCACTCACCCAGACCCAGTGGGTGAAAGGCAGGTTGAATTGGAATGCTTTTATCTCCAGAAATCACTTTTCTTTCAAGGTCTTCTTGAAAGCTTACTGTATTCATCTTTTCTCTTTTAGGCCTCCTGGACCTGTATCATGCTTGCTTGATGACTTCTCTTCCTGGCTCCCCTCCTCTTTGCCTCCTCTGAAATATCCACTATTATTCTTGGTGACTTTAACATCACTGTTAATGCTAACACCCCAGCTACCTCTCAGCTTATGAACTTAACCTCATCTCAACACAACGAACACTCTGATGGCAACACACTGGAACTTTATTCTCCTGCCTCTGCTCTCCTTGCAACCTTTCCAACACCCCTTTTCCTCCGTCTGCCCACAACCTTATCAGTTTCAAGCTCACCCTGTTCTCATCTCGGAACATCACCCAAATCACCCTCTCCTCTACACGCAAGACCTCCTGCTCTCTAGCTCCCTTAATTGCCTCTTCTCAAAAGAGAACAAACTCAGTTCAGCTAATCTCTCCAAATAGCTAACCTCCTCCATGCCTCTTATGAGTTTAGTTGCCCTCCAATTCCACAACATCCTTTTTGTAAATTGGTGCCCAAAACTGAACTGCATATTCCAGATGAGGTCTTAGTAATGCTTTGTACAGGGACATGATTATGTCTCTCTCTCTGGAGTCTATACCCCTTTTAACACAAGAAACTTTTTTTCTTGCTTTAGAAACTGTGGCTTGACATTGCATCCTATTATTGAGCCTATGGTCTACCAGAACACCCAGATCTTTCTCCTTCTTTGACTCCCTCCAATATACTCCCCCTAGAGTGTATGAAGCATGCATGTTTTTAGTCCCAGCGTGCATAACTTTACATTTATTAACATTAAACTTAATTTGCCAAATAGATGCCCAGTCAATCAGTGCATTCAGATATGCTTGTAAGTTGGAGACATCCTGTAGGGACTGTATTCCACTACATATGTTGGTGTCATCTGCAATCACAGAAATTGTACTTTTAACCCCCAACCTTATATCATTTATAGATTAAACATTAAAGGACCCAACACTGAACCTTGGGGTACACCACTAACAGGCTCAGACCATTCAGAGTATGACTCATTAATCACCACACTCCGAATATGGACTTTAAGCCAGCTTTCTATCCAATTACAGATTAAATGCCCTATACCTGCAGACCTTAACTTACACATTAGCCACCTGTGGGGAACTGTGTCAAACACTTTTGCAAAGTCCAAATATACTATATCCACAGCCATTCATTTGTCTAATTTATTTCTTCCTCATAAAAAGAAAGTAGATTTGTTTGACAACTTCTGTCTTTTGTGAATACATGCTGACTGTCACTCATAATAATATTTTCAAGAAAAACATGTGCATGTGATCCTTTATCAAAAGTTAAAGTATCTTCCCAATGATGGAAGTTAAGCTTACAGGTCTGTAATAACTTTATATTCATAACTGATATTCATTTTTGAATCTTTGCAAATCTTTATTTCCTTTTTACATATTTTGTTTTATTGTTTGTAACATTCAAATGACGACAGTGTTCCTTCATTTTTATGGTTTTTAAATGTCCTTTTCTCATTCCTTATGGCTTTGTTACATTGGATGTGGGCCATATGTGTTTTACTTTTAGCCTTTTATAACAACTAATTTCTTTTTTGTTCTCAAACAGCACATTCCCACACCTATACTGCTTTTAAGATCAGGGCCGCCATCAGGAGGATATGCCGATACTCATGTAAGGGGCCCGGGCAGCCTTTGGGGCCCGCCCGGGACCCTTGCATGACTATCGGCCGACGGTGAGAGGTGAGGATTCGGCCGGGCCCCCCTCAGCACTGAAGGAGGCTTGGCCCTAGCAGCGTCTGCAGCATCACAGCAGGCTGGTGCCCCATCGGCGCCACTGCTCTTTTGATCTTGGACCAGCCGGAGGTGACATCACATCACTTCTGGCCAGTCCAGCAGCAGAGGAGGCCAGGTGAGCAGGTAGGAGGAGCTGGGAGGGAGATGCAGCCCTGACCAGCCCACCTGAGACCCCTGCAGAGCCCACCATAGAGAGTATCAGATGGGCTGTGCAGCATCTATGGTGGGCTCTGCAGGGTCTGAGGTGGGCCCTGCATCCAGCGCATCACTAAGCCTGGCATCCAGCACGTCACTTAGTCGTGCGTCACTAAGCCCTGCGTCCAGCACGTTACTAAGTCCTGCGTCCAGCGGGTCACTAAGCCCTGCGTCCGGCGGGTCACTAAGCCCTGCGTCCAGCATGTCACTAAGCCCTGCATCCAGCACGTCACTAAGCCCTGCATCCAGCACGTCACTAAGCCCTGCATCCAGCACGTCGCTAAGCCCTGCATCCAGCACGTCGCTAAGCCCTGCATCCAGCGGGTCGCTAAGCCCTGCGTCCAGCGGGTCGCTAAGCCCTGCGTCCAGCGGGTCGCTAAGCCCTGCGTCCAGCGGGTCGCTCAGCCCTGCGTCCAGCTGGTCACTAACCCTGCGTCCATTGGGTCACTAAGCCCTGAGCCAAATTCATATACTGTTCTGCATTGCTGTATAAATGTATTGCTGGGCTTTGTAGTCCCCCTACAGCTGGCGTCATTGTGCATTAGAGTGTAAGCTCCTCTGTACAGAGACTGATGTGACTGTGGGGGGCATTGGAGTGTAAGCTCCTCTGTACAGAGACTGATGTGACTGGGGCTGCAACAACAAATCGACTAAGTCGATTAAAATCGACTTAGTCGGCTTTCGATTAGTTGCCTGTCCGCGGCTCCACACGCGCCGCACGTTTAACGCTGCATCTCCTCCCCACCTCACCCAGCTCTGAGCTCTCTCCCGCCGCTGCCCGCTTAGACGCTGCCTGCCAAGATGATCACATTGCTGCAGGGTGGAGGAACGGCAGCTGCCGACAGTCCCAAGATCTCTGGGGAAGAAAGTAAAGTTGCTTGAAGAGTGTGCAGGTAACACTGCCTGCACTTTTCCCCCACATGCTGTATAAATGCATTGGGGGTATAGTGATTGGTTGTATTCCTCTATAGCTGATGGTATATTGCGCTGTATATGCACCATCAGCTATAGAGGAATACAAATCCCAGCAATACATTATACACTGTGTCCTGGGATTTGCTGTATTCCTCTATAGCTGGTGGTATTCTGCATTGTGCTGTATAATGTATTATTGCTGGGATTTATAGTCCTCTATAGCCGGTGCCATTTTGCATTGATTGCTGTATAATTTTATACTTTCCATTTCACTTTATTGAACACCACCCTTTTTAGTTTTAGTTTTTTTACTTCCACCGCTCCAAGCTAGACTGATGTGACTGGCTCAGTATTCTCTGTACAGCACTGCGGTATATGTCAGAGCTATATAAATGTATAATAATAGTGTGTGACTGTGGGGGGACATTAGAGTGTAAGCTCCTCGGTACAGAGACTGATATGACTGGCTCAGTGTTCTCTGTACAGCACTGTGGTATATGTTAGAGCTATATAAATGTATAATAACAGTGTGACTGGCTCAGTGTGGCGGCGGTACGGCCCGGCTTAAAGCCGTGTAATGGGCCCCAAAATTTCTGATGGCTGCCCTGTTTAAGATTGTAAGCTCTCATGAGCAGGGTCCTCCTAAGACTCTTGTCTTGAATTGTTTTGCAACTGTAATTTAAAGACTAGTAAATGTTAAATGTATTTGCATGTGCAACAAGCTGCCAGAACATCAGCACTATTGTTTTAGGCAAGGCTAATTTCACTTTATAAAGTTTCATTAGCAGAAAAATGTAATGTAACGAGCATGAGTTGGTTATTTGTTGCTATTTTGCATTTTCAGAGTGTCAACCATCTGGCCATGGAGACTAAAAAGGTGATGAAAGGAAACCATTCAAGGAAGACTGCCTCCTTTGTCAGGGTATGGTTGATCAGAACCAGAATTTGTTTTAAATGTTTTGAATTGAATTAACATTGGTTCTTATTTGTCAGCATACTTTATACAAAAAAACATGGGGTTTTACAAAGAGTTCTATAAGAGTCCTTTATGGTCCAGTTTCTATGTTTTGGAACAAATATATAGAGGTGAAACTCGAATAATTAGAATATCGTGCAAAAGTTCATTTATTTCACTAATGCAACTTAAAAGGTGAAACTAATATATGAGATAGACTCATTACAACATATAAAAAAGAAACACTTGAAAGTTGTAAGGTTATGTTGAAGACCCTATAAGCACTTTGTGTGTCCAAAAGGGTTTGGTAACATAATCCCAAAGCAGATACAGGAAAAGTGTAACACATTCTTTAAAAAAAAAAAAAATGTTTCCATCTCTGTAACTGCCAGTGCCATTTTAGCTCTAGTGTGCTTGACCACTCCCCCTGATCACTGTTGTTCTTCTCTCAGGCATTGGCGTAACTGGAACCTTCAGGGCCTCGGTGCAAGAAAGCATGAAGGCCCCCCCAACCCCCCTCCGCCATGGCACCGCACGGTTAACAGGAAGGCTGCCGAGGTCCCCAGCAAGCGCATGACCTCAGGGAGCCGCTTCAGTTTAAAAATTTTGTGCTGATTTTCAGTCGAGAACACCGACCCAGTATCTGCATTTGCTCAAAGACGGGATTAACGAGGAAACAGGCATTTATTTACAAAGTATTTGTTTGTAATGGTTAATTGTGACCGTTAATATGCCGTCCATGGCAGTAGATGATGGATGGCAGGAAATGATTGCTGGAATATTATTAACGGTCACAATTAACAATTTTTATTAAAATACTTTGTCAATAAATCCCTGTTTCCTTGATAATGACTGTCTGTGCACAAGCGCAGTTGCTGAGGTCGGCAAATTTGACTATGTCAGCGTTCTCGACAGAACACCGGCATCTGTGTTTAGTATCCGGGGGCATAGTATGACAGCCTCTCCTGCTCTGACGCACAGCCGCCCGTGCATTCTGCGGGTGGTAGAGCGGCAGTGAAGGAGCGGCACGATCTCGGGGGAGGCCCTCTTCTCCCTTGCTGGGCCCCCCCCCCCCCCCCC